CGAGTTCAAATTTGACCTCAGACACTTGACACTTACTAGATGTGTGACCTGGGCAAGTCACTTAACCCTGATTGCCTCACCAAAAAGCAAATCATCATCATCATCATCATCATGATAGAGGGCGTAAGGAAGGGAAGTAAGTGTGCAATCTGTCTGGAAAGACAGATTGGAACCCTAATGATGACCACTAAAAGCTTCTGAATTCTGAACTTCTTAAAAGTCCTAAGTGAGGCTTTATCTTCCTCTACATACCTCCCCCAGGTCGTCTTAGATGTTGACACCATTTGCATCATATCTGATTCTACCAAGCTTGGTGCTTAGAGAGGGAACAGGGCCTAGAACCTTGGTGGTCTCAGCTTCCTGCCCATGCTGGTGCTTTGGGCTTATGTCCCATGTCCATTCCTTTCTCTCCCTCTCTCACCAACATAAACCCACAAGTCACGACAGCCTCTGCATGGGATCTGCTAGGGACTTTGCTGTTTATCACCAGATGTAGAAAGTTCCTTTTTGACATCTGTGTCATATCTGTATAACTTCCATTGACTTTCACATAACAATCAGAGTTCTGGGTTTTTTAACTAGAGAAACACCTGGATCACAATCTTTTATTGGCATCCAGAGAGCCGGATGTGCCTGCTACTGAGCACAGCACAGGTGGGCTTCTAGCCAAGCTGTCCCTGCTGCTTGGAGTGCACCAGGGCATTCACTTATGATACTCTAGAAGATCACACAGCATTGATTCCTCTCTATCTGATATGTGCCATAAGGTCCTGTGGAAAAAGGCACTCACTGCAAATTGGAAGTACCAGCAGCTTTTCAAGGTTGAAGGAGAAGTTAATCTGTATTCTCCTACCATAACCCCTCAACTTCCAGTGACCATGGAACAAGGTGCCAGTGGTGAAAGTCAAGACTAGAGGCATCATGAATTCTCATATTACAAAACAGACACAAGAAGGCAGCAGGCAGGGCTGAGAGATGTTGGGTAAGTTCCTCATAAAGTCCTCTCCACAGATGAAACCAAGTACCATCACGCAGCAGAGGCAGTTCGCAAAGTAAGGTGACAAAATGGAGAGATTAGAAAAAAGAGTCTGACTACTTCAGACCAGTCCATTCCAATAGCACATCCCTTTTCTTTTCCCAAGGAAAGGCTCAGAGGTTGGTTTATTTAACCATGTTCTACTTCCTTACCTGGTTCAGACATCAGCAGCATGCATTCTGGAAGTAGGGATAGAGACAGAACCCCATCTTAAAAAAGGAGCCTTTTCGGACCAAGAACCCTGTGAAAATCCAACTTGGGTTTGATTGTCTACTCCTACAAAGGTACTCAGAAGCTATAACCAATAGAGCTTGTGTGGGTGCAGACAACCAGAACTGCAGAGAACTCACCAGTCTTCAAGCCACCCAAAATGGACACTTTAGGGATGGATGGGAGGACATAACTTCCTTGAGTCCATAACCTCAAACTGAGGGATGAGGAACATATTGAGTCCTACGGGCTTCTAACTCCTACAGGCTTTTCACGTGGGCAAAATTGCTCTTCCTAATGACTGGCTCTTGTTTAGAGAGAATCACAGACACACATTTCCTGTTTCCCATTCACCTTGATTTGATATAGAAAAGAAGTTGCCCATTCACATCTGTGGGGAATATATCTAGGGATGGTGATTGCCTCTTTAAATATTTGTGGCAAAGCTTGAATCTTTCTAATAGGGAGATCTATTCTGTAAGGACCCAAATTGGCCTGAATACCTTGACAAAGTATAGTCTACCACAACCAACTACTCACCCACAGAACTAGATTGCGGGAGTAAGGCAAATAATTAAATCTAAATAATTTTTTTTTGCATATTTATCCAAGATTTTTAAAAAGTCTTAAGTGAAATAAGTAAAAACAATAATTTAATTTCAGTAATGTTTAATTAAAATGCAGATTAGTTACTTATAGAATATAACGAATAGTCTACAAGCAAGTGTGTTTTTTTAAAGGGGGGAATTTATCTCAACTAGTAAAAAATTATTCAAAGCAATATTAAATATGTTGATAATATAAAGGTCAAACCACAGATTATAATGTGCTATTGTAAGTAGTAGGTGGAGGCAATGTCATTTATTAGAAAGATTTGGAAAATTTGACTTTCAAATACAAGACTTAAAAGAAGCATAGAGAAGAAGGTAAAAGGAAAGAGAAACCATAAGGGATTCAATAAGTTCAAACTGTTTACATTCCTTCATGGGACAATGATACTTTTAACTCCTAAAACTTTCTCCTTATTAAGGCAGTTAGAAGGAGTATAGATAGACAGTTGGGCACAGGTGTGAGTCGAATATGATGGGATGATTAAAAAAACAAAATTCAGGATGAGAAAGAGGAACTCACTGAGAAAAGAGGAAAGTGAAAAGTAGAATGGGGTAAATTATCTCACGTAAAAGAGCTTTTACAGAAGAGGGAAAGATGAGGAGCATGTGAACCTTACTCTCACCAGAACTGGCTCAAAGAAGGAATAACACACACTTGCCTGAGTATAGTAGGGAAAGTAGGAGCAGAAGAGAATAAGGAGGGGTGGGCTGAAGAGAATGATAGAAGGGAGGTCTGACTGGGGGAGGTAAAAGTCAGAAGCAAAAACACTTTTCAGAATGGACAGAGTAAAAGAAGAGAGAAAGTAAGATAAATAACGTGGAAATAGGATTAGAAGGAAATACATAACAATCATACGTGAAAAAAATTACAGAAAGTTCCTCTGATCAAGAGGAATATATTTATTAGATATTATATACATTACATATAAGAAATATTATGTATTTCTTAAATATATAGAGAACTGAGTCAAATTTATAAAAATAAGAGCCATTCCTAAATTGATAAATGGTCAAAGGACAGAACAGGTAGTTTTCAGATGAAGTAATCAAAGTTATCTATAAGTCATATGCAAACATGCTCTAAAACACTACTGATTAGAGAAATACAAATTAAAACAACTCTAAGTTGCCACCTGATACCTATCAGATTGGCTGATGTGACAGAAAAGAAAAAAGATGTTGGAGAGTGTGTGAAAATTGAGATACTAATGCACTTTTGGTGAAGTTATATACTGATTCAATCATTCTGTAGAGCAATCTGGAACTATACCCAAAGGACTATAAAATCGTGCATACCCCTTTAATAAGCAATGCCACTCTTAGGTCTATATCCCAGAGAGATAAAAAAGGAAAAGGACATATATGTACCAAAATATTTATAACAGCTCTTTTAGTGGTGGCAAAGAATTCAAAATTGAGGGGATGTCCACAATTGGGGAACGGCTGAACAAGTTGTTGTATATGATTGTTAGAATACTATGGTGGTGCTATATGAAATGATGATGAAGATGCTCTCAGAAAAACCTGTTAAGACTTACATGAACAGATGTAAAGTGAAATGAGGAAAACATTGCATACATTAACAGCAATATTGTATGATAATCAACTGTGAGTGACTTGGAATCAGTCAAAAGGCTGCACCCAAGAACCTAGAAGGCACATCAGTTTCCCCACCTCTGACTCAGTATTACCAGCAATATAATGATCCAAGACATCTGAAGGACTTATGATGAAAAATGCTATCCATCTCTAGAGAAAAATCTGATGGGACTCTGAATATAGATTGAAGCATACTTTTTCTCTTTTTGGGAGTTTTTTTTGGGGGTCTATTTTCTTTCACAACATGACTAATATGGAAATGTTTTGCATGACTCCATATGTATAACCTGTATCAAATGGCTTGCCTTCCATTGAGAAGGGGAGGAGAGGGAGCAGGGAGAAGAGAATTTGGAATTCAAAAAAAATTAAATGAATATTAAAAAATGTTTTTATATGTAATGGGCGGGGGTAATACAATGTTAAGTTAAAGAAAAGATCTGGAGTCAGAATTTTAAGTTCACATCCTGTGAGCTTCTTGAAAGTAGGGACTGTCTTTGGCCTTTCTTTGTGTCTCCAAGCACAGTCCTTGGCACCACAGTAGGAGTTTTATTGTTGTTCAGTTGTGTCAGACTCTTCATGACTCCATTTGGGGGTTTCTTGGCAAAATACTGGAGTGGTTTGCCTTCTCTAGCTCATTTTACAGATAAAGGAACTGAGGTAAAAAGGTTATGACTTGCCCAGGGTCACACAGCTAGTATGCAAGACCGGATTTGGACTAGTAGGAGCTTCATAAATACTTTTTGACTACCATCATGGCTCTGCCAATTCCTACCTGTACAATGATCTCTCTGGACTTCCATTTCCTCATTCACAGTCAAGGAGGTTGAATTAAATGATTTCCAATATCCTTTCTATCTCTAAATGCAGTGACCTTAATCTTTTCAATGGTTTAAACTGATTAACATGTATTTTAAAGTATAAACAAGGTCACTGCCAAAAATAGGCATATGAATCAATGTTTTCCTATTATAAAAATTCAAGTGCTCAAATATGTACATGATTTCATGTGTTCAATCTTCACAGGTACTTTATATACTCTCCATTTTTTAATCTTTTTTCCAATTTTGAAGATTGCTTGGCTTCACGTCAGTTTTAAGAAGTCAAAACACCCACCTGCTGGGGAAAAGAAAGTTATTCCAATCTAGATGAGAAACTTTCTGAAATCTAGCACCTCATCTTTTCCATCTTATTTTTCCTTCATTTTTTTCTAAAATAAAAAGGTTTAATTTTAACTCCAAAACAAATTTTAAGAAGAGACGGATGAAATTAAAGCAATTGGAAAAAGGAAAAAATTAACTTTGGCAGAAAGAAAAGACGGATTTCTTTTTTTATTACTCATCGCTTCAACTGAGTTTTTAAAAGAGTTCTTAAAGTTGTTTACTGCCTGAACATTCTTTCTTCTGACCAAACTTAACCCCAAAACAGAGTGTTTGTGGACAAGTAGCTAAAAAATATCCAACTTGAAGCCAATGCAATATTTTATATTCAGTTCTAATTGAAATAACTCCATGATGGAAATAGAACAGAATGGTGTCAACAACAGCTGCAATGTCAGTGCATCATTTATTTAGTCAAGGACAAAAGAGTGAGCAAGCCGTCTTCATTCATCTTTTCCTCAGCTGGTTTAGACTGGGATAGGAGAGAAAACACAAATGCAGCGAGCGAAGTCTGACCTTAAGCCATAACCCCAATTCCCCCTAAGAATTCAAAGAGCCAATAAGAAGGATATCCCCTACTCTAAGATGCACCACAAGGTCACTGAGAAGTTACTGACCAGCCATGGAGTGGGAATTTCTATCATCTTGGACCAAGCAAATGTAGACTTTTCCCTTTCCTTCTGAGTGGTGCTACTTAAGGATTCCGTTCAAATTCATACATTGCATTTTTCCATTTAAAAAAATCTCCAACACATATAGCTATAGAAGTCCTCTTGCAGGAATTGCCACAAACTTTCTGAAGACAAATAGCATTGGGCTCTTCCAATAGTGTAAATGGCCAAGTTCTATCTATTCCCAAATCTAAAAGTCTGTCTTCCGATTGGAAAGGAAGCCTTTCCTTATCCTCCTTAATTCTACTCCCTTTACAATTTATCCTTCATATACCATTATCCTTCCACATTGTGATTTTCCCCATTGCAATTTTGATATATTATGGGTTGGCATAAGAAATTAAATGGGAATTTGGGGGAAGTTTTGCAGAAGTCATAGGCTACACATGAAGGCCACCAGATGACACAGAGCCTATGACCAAATACTTAACCCAAATTTTACAATATGGTACAGTAAACACCCCATAAAAGAAAAAGAAAAAATTCAGACCTTCTCTGATGTGAAGGGAGAACCAAAAGATTTAATGTGGATTTTCCAGATGGCAGAGGTGCCCCTAACCCCTCTACAGGGAAGGGATAACTGTAGCTTGTGTGAACATACAATTGTTTGCATGTTTTCTCTGCCTTTAGATTGTGAGCTCCTTGAGAGCAGGGACTATCTTTTGCCTTTCTCTGTATCCCCAGTGCTTAGCACAGTGCCTAAAATACAGTAGGCACCTAATCAATGTTGACTGACTCTAGGTTTTAGATAAGTATGTGTTAGAGAAAATCAAGGAGTATGTTGAAAGACAGCAGGTGTAGTGGAAAAGATGATGAGTTTTGAAATCAAGGGGTCCAAGTTTTAGTCCTGGCTCAAAGGTCACCTATTAGCTGTGTGACTATGGGTTAAGTCACTTCACCAGAGCCTTCAGAATGGAAATAAAAATACTTGCATTACCCTCCGTCACAGGACTGGGAAGGGGAAAGCACTTTGTAGAACTTTAAGATGCTATAGAAATATTGAGTAAAGAGGTGCATATGGAGCATTCTGGCTGCTGGTACGAGAGCATACAGAGAATACTAGGTCACAGGAGCATACATTTGGAGCTACAGGGACCTTAGAGGTCGTCTAATCCAACCACTTCATTGTACAAATGTATAAAATGCGGTATAGTAAAGTTAAGTGCTCAAGGTCACAAAGCAAGTGGCAGCACTAGAGTGCCAACCACAGATCATGGATTCCAAGCTGGAAGAGACCTTAAAAAGGTCATCAAGACCAGCCCCCTCATTTTACAGGTGAGGAAACTGAGACTAGCTGAAGTTGGGTGATTTGCCCAAGATCATAGTTAATATTAATAAACGACTAAGGTAGAATTTGAACTCAGGTTCTCTGACTCCAAACTCATTGTCTTCACTATTGCAGCACACTGCCTCCCAAACACAAAAGCCCTCAGAAAGGACACCTACCTACTACCCCTTCTGTCTTCTGCCATTATATGCCATTTTCTTCCTTGAAGGCTGATCTCTCTAAGGCTCACCTCAATATACCATATCTGATGCTTTGTCTTTTTGTTTTTCAAGGTCATCTCCAGGAAAAAAAATATATGGGTTCTAACGCAGCTAGGCCAGGGGTGGGGAACCCTCGGCCTGGAGGCTACATGTGGCCCTCTAGGTCCTCAAGTATGGCCCTTTTGGATTCAGTCAAAGGGACATACTTGAGGAGCTGGTGGGCCACATGTGGCCTTCACGCCACAGGTTCCGCATCCCTGAGCTAGGCTATCAACAGTGTAGAGCACAACCCATACTGTCCAACTTTTATCCATCTCCAGTCCAGAAAAACAATGTCTTTTCAACTTAATAAAAATGATAATTTATTTCTGCTTCTTTTGGTGAGGCCATCGGGATTAAGTGACTTGCCCAGGGTCACACAGATAATAAATATCATGTGTCTGAGGCTGGATTTGAACTCAGGTCCTCCTGACTCCAAGGCCAGAGCTCTATCCACTGTGCCACCTAGCTGACCCCAAAATGATCATTTTTAAAAATAAATTTTGTTGCTATGTTTGTTATATGTATTACCTACATTTCCCAACATAATCCTCCCTACTTCCTCTCCCAGAGAGTCATCATTTGTAAGGATAGCAATAGGGCCTGTGATTTCATTGATATAGGGGACTCCTGGATGAGGAAATTCCCTTTGCTGATGCAGCTTGGCATCCCCTCTGCAATCTCCAGTCCTTGAGACAATTCCCTAAAACGCTGAGAAGTCCAAAGACTTTCCCAGGGTCACACAGCCAGGTTACGTTAAAGGCTGGGCATGAAAGAAAAAGGAGGGGAATAAAGAGAGGGCAGAAAAACAAAAAGGGTGAGGAGGAATGAGAAAAAGAAGAGAAGAAAGATAAACGTTAACGACTACCATGTGGTAGTGACAGGGCAAGTTTCTTAAGATCACAGATTTTTTCAATTTGCTTTCAGTCTCTAGACCATTTCATAAAGTGGCTACTGCACTCAGTTTAATGAGTATTTACCTGCATTGATATATCTGGTTTAAAAGCATGGTTAACTTCTCAAATGCTTTCATAGCATTTTGGAAACAAACGTCTTTTTCCTCGTTCCTAGACTGAATCATAACCAAAAGGTTAATTAGATTTATATCATACAGTTTTTCTTCATTGAGAAGGGTCTTGGTGAAGGGAAGATGGAGGGATTAATGATCAATAAAAATGTAAAAAGAAAAAAAAAAGCTAAGCAAGATATGACTAAAAGTACTATATTTTCACTTAAAGGAATGATGCCAGAATGCTAATTGATAACACTATTGATTAGTTAAGCCAAGAACAACATATGGCAACAGAAGACTCGCGTTCATTTCCTCAGCACATGCTGTCATAGTCTACATACTCTGTCTTAACTTGTATAATTTTCTTAGAGTGACAGCATTTTAACATTGGAAGGGACCTTTGAAAACATTTCCAGAAGATTTAGTTAAAATGCTAGCAACGCTCTGAGTTGTTTTAAAGAAAAATGGCAAAGGTTTTCAAAGATTGTTGTAACTGCTCACTAATATTTTGGCCATATAGAGGATGAGGCCAGAGAATTACCTTAACCATTGGTGTGGACAAACTCTTTAAAAGGCAACGAATCATCAAAGAGTCCTATCTAACACTGATCAGATAACATTAAACCTTCCATATTTAACCTTTCTTGATCACCCAAGCTGCAACTCCAACTTCCCTTTCTAAAAAATATATTTTTTTTTATGTTGGATCTATTTTGTGTATACTTATTTGTGTATCTGTTGTCACCTCTGCTAGAATGTAAGCTCCTTGAGGATAGTATGTGTTTTGCTTTTGCCTTTTTATCTTCACCCCTGAAACAATGTCTGAAGCATGCAAGTGACTAATAAATACTTGTTGCTTAATTGATTCTGAAAGGGCCTACAGAAATTGCAGTTATTCACACTGCAAACAGAACATGAAATTCCCATGTCAGTAATTTTTTTACAAAGATTTTACAAAGATTCAAAAATTCAAATCATCCTTTCTTATTAAAGTAGTTAGTATGACTGCAGTGTTAATGAGGACATGGGGAAGAGTTCACTTGTATGGCTCTGGTTAGCTTCATTCTACAGCCTTCCTAGAAATGGACAACACTGGTGAGAAGGTAGACTAGGTGATTATGTATATGTATCAGAGTAAGTTTACTACTCCTCCCCCTCAAACTCAAGTAACTATTCCACAGACATGCAGTTGAGTACAGAAAACTAGGCATTACAAAATTACAAAACTGGTCATTATTCAGTCACTGCAACCTATTCTTTTACTATGTTGACCATGACTATGTCAACCTCTACTAAAGTCCTACTGGAGTGTTTCATCATGATATGGAGGTGACCTTGGGCTCTCAAAGGCCATATCAGTGGAACACAATTTTGATTATCCTATCACGTGGGACAGGCTTACAGTGTTGGCCTTGTGAGAGAATGTGCTCTTATCCACCAACACCCACCTTGGTGTAGTGAAGCTCAGCACTAGATTAGCCAGAAAGTGATGGGTTAGTTGGCTGAGACAGCCTATAAATAATTAGAAAGGTTTGTGAGTTGCATCAACGAAGGGAAATGTTGATCTTAATGAATTCATCACAGTGTTGAAGTCAATATTACCTCAAACGTTTTCTTCAATTCTTCAGTAAAGTTTTCCAAGGTAGAGATGATAGCAGACTCTCCTAGACTGTCTGGTATGACCTGTGAGGCTAGGTATTTCTTAGAATAAGTTGAAAGATACTGTAAAAATTTGCATTAAAAACAAACATTTGCTGCACATCTACTATGTGCCTATTGCATAATATACTCCCTAAATACAAATCGTGACTGATTAATTCAGTGACCAGACAAGATTCCAGAGCACCGAAGATGACGTGTACTACCCACCTCCCGGCAGAGAGCTGATGGATGCAAGGTGCAGAATGGATATAGTTTTTGGACTTGGACATGTCCTATTTTTTGGATTGATTATGTGTATTTTTATAAAGGTTTTTTTCAATGTTAGAAGTGTAAGAGAGAGAAAAAAATAATTTTGTTAATTATAAAATTAAATGAAAAACAAGAGTCATGGAACACGGACTAATCTGAAGCATGTTGGCATTTGTTGTTCAGTTATTTCAGACCTTTTGTGACCCCACTTGTGGTTTTCTTGGCAAAGATATTGGAGTAATTTGTAATTTCCTTTTCCAGCTCATTTTACAGATGAGGAAACTGAGGCAAACAGGATTAAATGACTTGCCCAAGATCACACAGCCAGTAAGTGTCCGAGGCCGGATTTGAATGCAGATCTTCACCTAGTATTACTTGTTACACTTTGCTTGGATGTTCGCTCTTTTCAAACAATCTCTTTTTCAAAGTCATCTCAGCAACTGGCTAGCAACCAGACCATGTTCTGGAGGTTCTTCTGCTCTTACACCACAGCCTTTCCTGATTGATGACTGCCTCTTTGAGGATACTACTTCAGCAAAATCTCACCCATGATTCATTTTACTCCATCTTCTCCAACCACCTCCTCCACAGCCTTCTTGCTAACTACTTCACTGTCCCATCTCCTACTCTTTCATTTCAAACTCCTCCCCAAAGGGAAACTGACAGAAGGGAGGGCATATGGGGAAAGGTGGTGGTCAGAAGCAAAACAGTGGTGAGGAGGGATAAGGTGAAAGGAAAGAGAGAAGGATAAACAGGAGGAAACACAGGATGGAGGCAAATATTTAGTTAGTAATCAAAACTATGAATGTGAATGGGATGAATCACTCATAAAAAGGAAGTGAATAGAAGAATGGGTTAAAAACCAGAATCCTACAACGTGCTGTTACAGAAAATACAGTTAAAGTAGAGAGAAACACACAGAGTAAAGGTAGGGGGTTGGAGGAATATGTGTTATGCTGATTAAAAAAAAAAAGCAAGGGCTGTAATCATGAACTCAGACAAAGCAAAGGCAAAAATAGATCCAATTAAAAGAGCTAAGGAAGGAAACCACCTCCTGCTAAAAGGTATCATATACAATACAGTAATATCAGTACCAAACATATATGCACCAAATGGTATGGCATCGAAATTCTTAAAGAAGTTAGATGAATTACATTAGGAAATAAACAGTAAGACTATACTAGTGGGGTACCTCAACTTTCCTCTCTTATAACTACATAAATCTAACCATTAAATAAACAAGAAAGAAGTTAAGGAGGTGAATAGAATTTTAGAAAAGTTAGATATAATTGACCTCTGGAGAAAACTGAATGGGGATGGAAAGAAATATACCTTCTTCTCATGGCACCTACACAAAAATTGACCATGGAGTAGGGCATAAAAACCTCATAATCAAATGTAGAAAGGCAGAAATATTCAATTTAAACTCCTCCTCATCCCCCCAGTTATGGAACCATGACCAAACATGTCATTATTCCTGAACGGAGTATATCAATCTGCTTCTCTATGCTCCATCTAATATCCTTTTAACTCGGATTATTCCCACCATCTGCTGCCTTCGTTCTTGTTCTTAGGTTACTCAACAAAGCTGGAGAAAATTACAAAACTATGCTGAGTCCACTACAAATTTATGTCACTTTAGCTCTACTGGGCCCTCCCTGCAGAAGGGCAATCCTTTTATACTTCCCTAATTGATTCGCTATCCTGCTCGCCATAGTAACTTTCTCAAACTTTTTATTTCTCTTCAAACTTTCCATAGCTTCCCTTTCCCTACCCTCTCAACTGAGAACCTTGTTCATATTTCACTGGAACTAATGAGGTCACTTCCCATGAGCTTCCACTTGTCCCTTCCTCATCTAACATCATTCAGATGCCTTCAGTCATGTCTCACCTGAACAGATAGATGGTCCTTCTTAACAAGGGAAACCTTTCTAGATGCACAAGTGATCCCATTCCTTCCTGTCTTCTCCAAAAGATTACCTTCTCTATTATTCCCACTCTGTCAAATATCTCCAATCTCATCCTGTCTACTGCTGCTTTCTTCTGCCTATAGACACACTCGTTTCTCTCTCATTCTCAAAAAACCCTCACTTCATGATACCATCTTTCCTCAACAGCTATTATCCTATTTCCTCCCTTTTGCGAGTAAACTCTTTGAAAAGGCCTTCCACAATGGGTGCCTTCACTTCATTTCCTCTTCTCTCTTAACTGAAATAGCTTTCTCCAAAGTCACCAATGCTTTTTCAATCCTCCTCCTTCTTGAATCCTCCTTCCATCGTTCTAAAATTTTGTGACACTGCTCCCTCTTGATTCTCTTACGTGTTTGAACACTGCTTCTCAGTATCCTTTGCTGAACTTTAATCTAGCTCATACCTGCTAACCCTGGATACTCCTCAAGGCCCTCTTCTTTTATTCTTTTATATTATACTATTCTATACTATTTTGCTTGGTGATCCATTTATTCCCATAGATTCAATTATCATCTCTATGCAGATTATTCTCAGATCTCTTTATCCAGCCCTAATCTCTCACCCAGGCAGCTAGTGGCTCAGTGGATACAATGCTGGGCCTGGAGTCAAGAAGGTACATCTTCCTGAGTTCAACTCCAGCCCAAGATGCTTACTAGCTGTGTGACCCTGAGCAAGTCTCTTAACCCTGTTTGCCTCAGTTTCCTCATCTCTAAAATGAGCTGGAGAAAAAAAATAGCAAGCCACTCCAGTATCTTTGCGAAGAAAATCTCAAATGGGGTCAAGAAAAGCAGGGCATGATGGAAACAACTGAACAACAACATGTCTCTCCCAGTCTCTGGTCTTACATCTCCGAACAGCTGACTATTGGCTATTTTGAATAGGATGTCCTATAGACATCTTAAACTGAACATGTCCAACACCAGACTCCTTATCTTTTCCCAAAAACTTTCCCCTCTTTCAAATTCCTTTGTTATTGTCAAGGGCACCAACCATCCCCACAGGCTCAAAACCTAAACATATGCTCAAACCCTCAAGTCTTCAGTTGGCACGTCCAATGTGTTGCCAAATCCTATTGATTCTACTTTAACAACATCTCTCCTGTATGTGCCCTCTGCTCCAACACTGCTACCACTCTGATATAGGTCCTCATCACCTCATGCCTGGTCTATCACAACAGCATATCGATTGGTTTCCTTGTCTCAAGTTTCTCCCCACTCCAATCCATGCTCCACTAAGGCACAGGTCTGATCACATCAGACCCTCTATTTCATAAACTTCAGTGGCTCCCCATCACCTCCAGGATCATGTATAAAATCCTCTGTTTGTTTTTTAAAAGCTTTCATAATCTTTCCCCAGTACCTTTCCAATCATGTAATATCTTTCTTCCCTCATTGTACTCTGAGATCTACTGATGCTGGCTTCTTTGTTGCCTGTACACAAAATACTCTATCTCCACACTTTGGGCATATTCATTTGCTGTCCTTGTCTGGAATTCTCTCCTTCCCCCATCTCTGTCTCTTAGATTCTCCGGTTTCCTTGAAGTCCCACATAAAATGACATCTTTTACAAGAAGGCTTTCCTAGTATCCCTTAATGCTAAAGCCTTCCCACTGATTACTTACAATATATATATATATGTGTGTACACACACACACACACACACGTATGTATGTATATGTGTATATGTATGTATGTGCTATATGTATGTGTGTATATGTGTGTGTGTGTGCATATTTATTTGTATATATAGTATTCACAGGTTGTCTCCCTCATTAGATTGTGAATTCCTTAAAAGTAGGGACTGTTTGTGGCTCACTTTGTCTCCCTAGCACTTAGCAGAGCTAAGCAGAGTTCAGAGGAGGCTCATAGTAGGTACTTAATAAATGTTTATGACGCAACTTTGACTTTCTGGACCAAAGTGTACTCCTCTGGCCACCACTCCCCTGTGTGTGTTGTTCCCATTGGAATGTAAGCTACTTGAGGGCAGGAAGGTATCTGGTTTTGTAATTGCATCCTCAGCATTTAACACATGGTTAGCACTTAATAAATGCTTTTTCATTCATTTTCTTTAATTTCTTCTGTAATAAGCAAGCTCTAAGCAAAACTTTAAAATGAGTGAAATTTATCTTCAGAACTCTTATCCTCTCCTCTTGCAGTATTCTTCCTCTACAGCATCCTTCTAGTCAGGCACCAGTCACTCACATTGGCCAGGTTCAGAGGTCAGCCTTTCTAAACACACAATTAGCATTTTACCTTTAACTTTGCTATATGTACAATGTTACCTTTAGGAATTGAGTTTTCTCCTGGCATTTAGGCAGCAGGGGAAAATGGTGTGTGGTCCTCTTCTAATGTTCGTTGTTTTGGCTCTATCAAAGTACTATCCAATAAATCTAAAGACAAAGAAAGCTCCATAAATATCACGTTATCCCAAACCCAAGTTTTCACCTTGCATGAATTTAGTAACAAACCAACTGCAACAGAAAGGGTCGAGCACTGCTCATTACAAGGAAGGTTCTATGACATGTCAACCTATTCAAAATGACCATGGGAACTAAAAGCATTTCAGTGATCCAAGAAGATAACAGAAATATAGAAATTATTTCTCCCTAGAAATCAGAAACACTCTGCTTAGCAAAAGTTCAGATTGACTGCTCTAGGAACATCTGTGACCTCACCCTGGAACATCCCTCCACCCCGCATCTCCCTTCTCTCACTGGTGAATTCTTCCCAGAATCTCCATTTTGGGGAAGAGTCCCAGGCCATACACTGAATTTCATTCTTCTCTCAGTTCTTTTACCTCTATATATAGATTTTGCCACCATTCCATTAAGTCAGTATACCTCCCAGCTTTTCAGATTCCTTTTATGTTGTCTTTCCCCATTAGAATTTAAACTCTTTGCAGGCAGGGGTTATCTTTCTTTGTGCTTATATCTGCATCTCCGGCAATCAATGCAGTGTCTGCATAGTAATTGATTGTTAAGTGACTAATGTTTTAAAAATATAATCTTTTTAGGGCCAGTCTTGGGCTAAATCGAAGTAAATAATTTCTAGTATCCCTTTCATTTTTATTTCTATTTCTCCATCTATTTTTTTGTCCTTTCCCCATAGGAGTCTACCTTCCACCTTTTTACTGCAGTGACCTATGCAAGTACCCTCCAGGCTCCACCCCATGCTCTCAATCTCCTCTCCCATTTAAAACCTGATATATGCTCCATTTCCCCACCCCACCCCCTTTGCTAGATGGAACCTGTTAACCTGGAGCTGGGCAAAAGGAACTCAATACTTAGGCTCTGCAGATGAAGATTCATTGGCCAGAACTCACAGTTTACATTCAGGATTTGATCAGTGAGGAACTCCCCCTCGCCATTCAGAATAACACCTTCTCTGTGACATATACTCTTAAACAGTTGCCCAAAACATTGAGAGGTAGGTAAAGTGACTTTCCCAGCATCACACAGCAAGTGTGTTTAATAGAATGGGCTTGAATTCAAGCCAGCGCTTTATCCAATACACTATATATTGACTCTTATAGAAAATAATGTAAGCTATCGTTTGGATCATGGACCAAGGCTTCAGGTTCTAATTCTGGCTCTATTACTGATGAGTTCTGTGACTATGAATAGGTTACCATTTACTAAAACTTAGCTAGATGATACATTAGGATGGAACTCTTAGGTGTTTCTATAACTCCATAACAAACATTTTCATTATTATTATACCCTTCCAGATAAAACCTTCATTTCAAAATGCGTCTTTGGGAAATAATGTTTTAATCCAAAAGGAATGTAACCTGGCATCTCAGGCGCTGTAACAGGACAGAAAATGTTCGACAACATATTTAGAGTTCCACAAGTGACACCCTGTTACCTACTATCAGGGGCAGCTAGGTGTTACAACTGATAAAGCATTGGTCCTGGAGTCAAGAAATCCTGGGTTGAAATCCAGCCTTAGACACTTATTAGTTGTGTGACCTCAGGCAAGTCACTTAACATCTGTTTGCCTCACTTTCCTTATCTGTCAAATGAGGATAATAATAGCACCACCACCCAAGGTTATTGTAAGGATCAAATGAGACAATATTTGCAAAGCAATTAGCACAGTGGTTGGCACATAGCAAGAGTTTTATAAATATTTGCTATTATTACCAGCCAGTCCTACATAGGCCCTTATTTTACTACAAATAAATGCAGCACCTATAGTCTATAAAATGGGATCCCCTCCACCACACACATAGAAGAGAAACCATACTATATAATAAGGTCTTTTTTGCTCTTCGCAAATCAAACATCTTTGGATTCTGATATGAGATAAACGTGGCTTCTAGGATCATGGAAGCATAGAAAATAACAATAGGACTATCTTCTCAAAGAATCATTGCAAAGAAAGTGTTATCTCAACAAGACCTTTGATCATTTACTGGTAGAGTTTCATAGATTCAGACGTGGGAAGGACCTCAGAAGACACCTACTCCAAAAAAACTGATTTCAATCTAATGAAATCAAAGGTCAACTTGGTAATAAATCAAAGAGCCAAGATTTGAATCGAGTTCTTCCGTTTCCCTATCGGGCACATTTCCCCCCAACTACACCAACCTACCAACCCTTAGAAAGAGCTATGACATGGAAGACAAATTAGGTGTGGACTACACATTAGGCAGAAGTAGCACAGAAGTAAATTAAGGCTTTACTTGAGGAAATTCAGGTCTCTTTTGTTTGAATATACAGGACAGTTTTAAAGGATGTCCCACAGTACTTCCTTAACACCGAGAACTAGCCAGAAGTAGAACTGCTGACCTTAGGAGGCATTAGGATCCTCCTCCCTGGAGGCCTATGAGATGACACCCGTTCTTCAATATTATGAACATAATAAAAAAAAAGATATAGAAAGAGCTGGGGATAGGAAGATACAAACAAATGGGTTTTCTCAGGGGTAAAAGGGATGGACAAAGAGATGTAGAGCCTGTGCCATGGACACTTGTCCAGTTCAGCTTCTTCCTCTGTGCCTATAGGGCACCTGCTAGGGTTTCAGTCAGATGAGCCACTTGGAGGTCAAGAGAACAGTCAGGTTCTCTTCTCAGCGGTTCTGAGAGGGGTGGGGCGGGTAAAACGAACCCAGTAGGGCTCCTGGCAGGGAGGGGAAAAGGGGGGTGGGGTTAAAAGAACCACGGGATGGGCAGACCCAGAGGGCAGCTCCTGGCGTCTCAGAGGGGGACCTGAGTGGATGGGGGTGGAGGCGCGTCGCCAGGCAGCAGGGTGGGCTCAGACTTCACAAAGGCCATCGCTGACGTCACCGACCATCAACACTGCTCCGCCCATGGTTGCCTGAGTATCTGTGCTGGCCCACAGTTTAAATCTGGTGGGATGTGAAATTGCAGGAGATCAGCTGAACGCCCTGCCGAGGATGGGGGACGTCAGGGGCCACACTGCACCTGCCTCAAGAGCTCGAATTGAACTCTGATATAGTTGAATGGTCCCCAAATGGTATTTATCTGATCATCGTTTTCACCCCTTTAGGTTGGGAGGGTAGCCAGTCTGCTGGAGTGGGGAACACCTCTGATGGGGAGGAAGCTGCAGACAGCCCCAGGGGCTTCACTGCAGGCTGTCAAGTCAGATCACTGGCTAGCAGGACGAACTTCTTGCTTGGGAGTTGCCTTGAAGGAAAGCATTGTACTTGGCAAGTTGCTTTTTGTTTGCTGCTTATGCTTCTCTCCTGGAAGGGTTAACTGAGGGGGGAAGTCAGCATGGAGGACTAGCTCAGAATGGACTTGGAAGGTTTTGTGAGTGGCAGGGCTAAAAGAGAACTCAGGGGTCTTCTGGTCCAACCTCTTCATTTTTTTTAAATATAGATTTATTTATTTTTAGTTTTCAACATTCCCTTCCACAAGTTTTTTGAGTTCCAAATTTTCACCCATCTCCCCCCTCCCCCACCCCAAGATGTCATGCAATCTGAATATCCCTTCCCACTACACTGTCCTCTCTTCTATCTCTCTCCCCTTCTCTTATCCCCTTCCCCTTCTATTTTCCTGTACGGCAGGATAGACTTCTGTACCCCATTTCCTATATTTGTTTCCCAGTAGCATGTGAAAACATTTTTTTAAACATATTTTTTAAAACTTTAGGTTTCAAATTTTCTCTCTTCCTCCCTCCCCACCCACCCTCATTGAAAAGGCAGGCAACTCAATATAAGTTGTACATCTGCAGTTATGCAAAACACATCCATAGTAGACATGTTGTGAAAAACTCACTCTATTTCCCCTGATCCTATCCTGCCCTCCCATTTATTCTATTCTTTCTTTTGACCCTGTCTCTCCTCAGAAGTATTTACTTCTGATTAACCCCTTTCCCAATCTGCCCTCCTCTCTATCATCCCTGCTCTCTTTCCCCTTTCCCCCCTATTTTCCTGTAGGGTAACACAGCTTTCCATACCCAATTACATGTGTATGTTATTCCCTCCTTAAGCCAAATCCTATGAGAATCAGATTCACTGATACCCTCTCACCTTCCCCTGTTTCCCCTTCCACTCTAACAGACTTTCTATTGTGTTTTTTTTTTGGTGAGATAATTTACCCCATTCTACTTCTCCCTTTCTTCTTCTCCAGATATAATCCTCTCTCATCCCCTCATTTTATTCTCCAGATATGACCCCTTAATCTTCAACTCACCCTGTGCCCTCTATCTATCTATGTACATATGCATACACATTTTTTTTTTCCCTCCAACTACCCTGATACTGACAAAGGAAGGTCTCATGAGCTATAAATATCATCTTTCCAGGCAGGAATGCAAACAGTTCAATCTGAATAGGTCTCTTATGATTTCTCTTTCCTGTTTACCTCTTTATTTTCCACTTGAGTCCTGTATTTGAAGTCAAATTTTCTATTCAGCTCTGGTCTTTTCATCAGGAATGCTTGAAAGTCCTCTATTTCACTGAATGACCAGTTTTCCCCTGAAGGATTATACTCAGTTTGCTGGGTAGGTGATTCTTGGTGGTAATCCTATCTCCTTGCCCTGAATATTATATCCATGCCCTACGGTCCTTTAATGTAGAAGCTGCTAAATCTTGTGTTATCCTGATTGTGTTCCCACAGTACTTGAACTGTTTCCTTCTGGCAGCTTGTAATATTTTCTTTTTGACCTGGGAACTCTGGAATTTGGCTACAATATTCCTAGGAGTTTTCCTTTGGGATCTCTTTCAGGAGGAGATCGGTAGATTCTTTCAATTTCTATTTTGCCCACTGGTTCTACTTATATGGGCAGTTTTCCTTGATAAGTTCTTGAAAGATGATGTTAGGCTTTTTTTTGATCATGGCTTTCAGATAGTCCAATGATTTTAAATTCTCTCTCCTGGATCTATTTTCCAGGTCAGTTGTTTTTGACATATTTCACATTGTTTTCTAATTTTTCATTCTTTTGGATTTGTTCTACTGTGTCGTGGTTTCAAAAAGTCACTATCTTCCAATGGCTCTATTCTAATTTTAAGGAAGTATTTTCTTCAGTAAGCTTTTTGGACTTCTTTTCATTTGGCCAATTTTGCTTTTTAGGGCATACTTCTTTGGCTTTTTGGACCTCTTTTGCCATGTGGGTTAGGCTATTTTTTAAGGTGTTATTTTCTTCAGTATTTTTTTGGGTCTCCTTTAGCATCACTCTCAGTTTTTCTTCTACTTCTCTAACTTGCTTCTCAAAATCGTTTTTGAGCTCTTCCATGGCCTGGGACCAATTCATATTTTTCTTGGAGGCTTTGGATGTAGGGGCTTTGACTTTGTTGTCTTCTTCTGGTTGTATATTTTGGTCTTCTTTTTCACCAAAGTAAGACTCTTTTTGCCCTGCTTGCTCATGATCCCGGCCAATTACTTGAGTTTTAATCTCTTTGTTAAGGTACCAATCTGCTTCCAATGTGGAGAATGTACTGTCCCAAGCTTCGGGGGTTTGTACAGCTGTTTTCACAGATACTTGTAGGGACCTGTAAATTTTCAGTTCTTCCAAGATGGTATGATAAGAGGCAAGGTGTTTACTCCTTTCCTGGCCTGTGACTACAAGTACTCCTTTCTGTCCTGTTACTGTGAGGAGGGGCTTCTCTCCGCAATCACTACAAGCTCCACCAAGCCAGCGCTCCTCCTCACCCCAGTACCGCTGCCCAGAACTGTGGCCCAGATCCGAACATGGGCAAAGGAAGAGATTCCTGCCTCAGCACTGGCAAAGAGATCCCTGCAGTCCTTCTCTCATCAGCCACTGGATTCCCCCTCAGGCTGTGGGCTGGAAGCTCAGGAAGCAGCTGCCCCCCCACAGGGCCACGCTCTTGGGCAATGGAGCTGAAACCCCGAATTCGTTTCTCAGGGCACCCACAGAAACACACTTTTCCCACTGAACTTCTAATTTGTCTTTGGCATTTGTGGATTGAGGAGTCTGGAAACCTCCACAGCTGCCCGAGATTCAGTCTTCTGAGGCCGGCTCCAGGGTTGCTGAAGCCTGTGCGCCCACGCTGCAGACTGTGCACCCATGCTGCGCTGCGCTCCCAGCCCGGTGTGACACACCTTTCTGATCAATCATCCACGTTGTCTTGGGCTGGAAATTTGTTTCACTCTGTCTTTTTGTGGGTTCTGCTGCTTCAGAATTTGTTTAGAGCCATTTTTTATGAGTATTTGGAGGGGTTTGGAGGAGAGCTCAAGCAAGTCACTGCTTTCACTCCGCCATCTTGGCTCTGCCCCACCAACCTCTTCATTTTTGAGAAAGTGTAAATGAGGACAAGAGGAGGTCTGGGACATGGCCAAGGGTTTAGAGCCAGTAAATACCTGAAGGAGACCCTGAGCCCAGGTTGCTCTTGCTTGACACACTACTTGGCTTATATCTTCACATCTCTCTCCTTTGACATCCAGGTTTCATAGGGGGAAGATCCCTCACAAAGCACTGCCATGAAACAGCTTCCTGCCTAATGTGGGATTTGTGTAGGTTGCCCAGAGAGTTACCAGGCTGGGCCACAGCAAATATCACCCCTTTCCTGAATGGGTTTCTTCCCTTTCTGAAATGGGTGGGGAGGGAGTGGATGATTTTTAGTGGCTTCACTCTTAGCCCTACTTGAACGTGTTCCTGGAAGTTGGATGTGAAAGCCTTTGCAAAGCCCCTCTTTCCTGCCCTCCACAAATACCTAGTCTAGTGTCGGGGGAGAGGAGTGTCTGCGATATGGTGAACTTGTTAGAGGTTGGGCAAAGGAGGAAAAGCTAGGTGCCAGGGGGATCTGCCACAGCTGCTGCACTTGCCCTTTCAAAGATGGGAAAGAAGATGGAAGGTGGTCACATAGCAAAGGTATCAATTTTGAACTGAACAAAGGGAGCAATGTGGGTTCAACGGGGGTCCTGAAGGAGTCACAGTGAGGACAGGAGCCTGAATAACACCTTGACCAAAGCTCACGTGCCCTTTCTTTTACAAACCTTAGTAGGTCTATGAGATTTTTCTCAGGAACATGAGTTCTTCCCTACCTTGTTGAGATCATTCTGAAGGACAGCTCTAAGATCATCTCCCTGATGCCAAATGTCTGAAGGGGGAAAAGATCGGGGCAACTAAATCAAATTGCCTGTAGAAATGATGCCACAAATACAGGAGTTCAGGAGTCCTGGAATGCTTTATCAAAAGGCTCAGTGGCTGGTCCTACACCAGTGACAAAGCAGAACTAAAAGAAATGTGCTTACAATAAAAACTCCTCCAAGCTGAACTCTTCTTCTCTCTTGCTCATGATTGAAACGGCGATGTGTTTTGAAGAAAGGGCTAAGGATCTCTCTCCCTCTCTGTCTCTCTCTCTCTCTCTCTCTCTCTCTCTCTCTCTCTCTCTCTCTCTCCACCCCCCCCACACACACACACGGAGGCAGGGAGCACTCCACCCTCCCCCATACAATCATTTCATGGGGAATTTAAACTGAGAGAAATCATTTGTAATTCGGGGGTGAGGAAAGGGTGCTCTATAGTGTTGTGCCCAACAGTTGACTTACTTTCTAAGGAGAGAGATGGGATAGCCATAGGCAAAACAGCTTTGGAATAAGAACTCATTTGTCCAATCTCATGGGAAAAGTGGGTGAAATCTAGGGACTTTCTTATGGATGGGTATTCATATTCTCTCAATGGTGACACATGTGATTACTCACCTAATCTCCATAGTCATATATATTTATACTGATATTTTCTATCTAGATTCTCGTATACGAATACTCCAGTATTATCTAAGT